CCCCCCCCCCCCCCCCCCCCCAAATATTTCCCAAAAGATTTTATGTATGCTTGCTTTTTATTCTGTGTGTGTATTTTTATAGGTGTTAATCCAGCAGAAATTCTTGTTTTTCCCCAAATTTTAAGCATAGTCTTTCGGCTGCTTCTGGAGGCAGAGACAAAGCTGTTGACATTCGCTGAAAAGCCACAGTGGTGGTCTCCCTCTGGAGCTGTGAAGAGATCCTTCTAACTAAGTACAAACTTGAAAAATAACATCCCGTGTTGCACTGGAATTCTGAAATCTCTTTGGCGTTGCTTTACCCTATTCACAAAACACAGAAATGCTAGGAAGTAATGCAATACAGTTTTGAATGCCACATCAGATCAATTCCAAAACTCCAAGGAACATTCAGGCCTTCAGTAGCCAGAACCTTTAATTCATTTTGGGGAAAATCAGGGAGCCCAAAAGGTAGAAAAATGACAGGCACATCGAGCCACTGCCATTTGTTCAGCAGTCACAGCTTCCAGCATCTCTTCAGTTGTCCCTGGATCAAACAACTGGTTCATGACACTCATTAACACTTTCCTGTATAATAGTATCCCTGTTCATTCCCCTTATGGCTTAACACGTGGAAATCCTGAATGACTGATTTCCCTGACAAATAATAGTGGTGGGATGGGAGGGGGAATAGGGAGATGACAGTACACAGTCCCTGCCATTTGTGGATAGAACTGGTTGGAGCATTTTTAAATTCTTGGGAGCAGGAGAGTGGAAGAAGATGGGGAATTGCCACCGAAATGTTAGCTGTGGGATTTCCCAGAAACGTGTGATTCTCCCTTTTTTTCCAGCCAGCGCAACTATAAATCTCAGATTTACTGAGAAGTTGCAGTAGCTTTCCCATTGTGTAAAGACGGATTATTTTGCTGCGGGGAGTCAAGTGGCAAAGGAATGCAGTAGGTGAGAAGTGGGGAGAAAGCCTGGTTGCATCTCCTGGATCCCCAAGAGCAGTGAGGAGAAGAGGGAAAACTAAACCTATTTTTGGAGTAACAGATGGACCCCACGTCAGGGAACAGACCTGCCACAAAGATCTACCTCTTCAGTTCCTTAAGCCCCAGTTAACAAATGGTAGGAGCAAGGGTCTGCTTTTCATGCAAAACAGGAATCTCGTGCCAAACTGTCATGAGATGGGCCACATGTGGCATTAACTGAAGCTCCCATCCCAGCTGCAGGATTGTTAGCGGGTTGGATTTTACCCTTATGTAGGAGTAGAAAGTGCATTTCTTGCAAAAGGCTATTTTTGTGCTGGTTTTATAGATTATGTATATTTTTGGAAGGGAAATATTTAGACAAATGTCTGCCTAAGGCAGGTGATGAAGAAAAGAGAATTTCTGTATTGTATTCTTCAGTGTATCAGTGTATGTGCCTGTAGGGCACTGTAGCTGAGGAAAAAAGTCAGCTGCATGGAAGTAATAACAAATTCCATGGAGACCATAGCATCTTCTTGCTTTTGTGTTTTCACACCATTGAATCTAATTTGTCAACCAGTAGTGGCACAGTATTCAACAGTGATTGTGAAGAACTTAATTTGCCTCTCCTTCCTTTTTTTCCTCTCCTCATACCCTAACTACAACTTCTAATTATTTTGAGAGTTTAAGCTTGGGTATGAATCAAAGTCCATTTACTTTATTCAAACTACATCTGTATGCTTATTGGGAGATGTCAAGGGCAGTGGATGAGATGCAAAAGACACGTTATAAAGAGAGTTTGGGTTCTGTTCCAGGCTTTGTTACCAGTTTGGAATGTACTCTTGGGCGAGACGCTTGTGATAATGTGTTTTAGAGTCCTAATTGCCATCATAGCAATTCTCATTTGATTGCAATAAATAGACCATCAGCAGACATAAAATTACAGTGTTCCTATTTACTTAACATATAACGATATGACATATAAGAATCAAACGCAGAAGTGCCAGCAGTTATTTTATTTGATACCTTAAATATTTGGAAAAGACTACAGAATGCTCTTCAGCTGCACCAGCGAAACAAGTGTTATTTTCCCATCAGTCCTGCTGTTATAATGTCCAACTGGACAAGCTATAAATTCACATCACAGCCTACATTCATGTATTCCTCAAATTACGTAGCAGTTTTGTTTATTGTACCACAGCAGTTTTCAGTTTGACCCCCCCCAACCCCCCCCTTGATCTTTGTTTCAAAGGCTTTCCAATTCTGGGAGATATAATATTTGGCTTGCACATATTCAAAGGCTGGATGTATTGCCTGAAAGCATTAGATCTTTATTTTTAAAAGACCTAAAGTATAAATAATTTAATTTATTTAAGGCATGTACTTTATGTTTATATAAAAATTAAAACTAGACCTACAGTTAATTTGCAGTTTCATATCAAAGGAGGAACCAAACACGTCCATATTGTTAACAAAGCTGTCATAGAGAAATCGTGAATAGTATAACTTCTTAACCGTTTTAATGTGTTGCATGGCTGAAATGTGTTTTGTGAGTGAGGTTTTGGTGGCTTCTTGGTCCTTTTCAAATTAAGGTCTGTTTTAAGGTAGACTGAGTCCTTCTAAAGAAGAAACATTGAGTGCAGCCCCATTTGGACCCTAGCAGTAGCCTGACAGTCCGCTCAGTTGACCTGAGGCTATACT